AGGCAAATAAAACAATGTTTCAGACAAAAGTTGTTCATATTATTTAGTAGAATAAGATAGTATAATAAACAATAGGGAGTTCCATTTAAAAAAATGACAGCGACCTCCATATAACCATAAAAAATTTATTTTTTCGAAAATTTAATTTTTCATTATATAGCCCTTTTAAAACCGTATAACTTTTGCCTGAAACATTTTTCTCTAAAATGTTCTATTTCCGAAATAAAGGGGCTGTACGGGTGGTCTGAATTACCCTGTATAAACGATGTAGTTAAATGTTGTCCCGAGGGAGGCGATATAAAAATGTTTGCGGATGATACTATATTATACATAACGGATGAAAGTTGTGAAGAACTCGAAGTAAGAATGAATATGATGTTTAATATAATTGAAGAATGGATGAGTGTAAATGGACTAAAACTAAATGCGAGTAAAACAAAGTGTATGATTGTGAGAAGTATAAGAAAAGATTTCAAGGCTGATATTACAATACAGTGTAGAGAGGGTATGCTATAATAATAGAGCAAATAGAAAAGATAAAGTATCTTGGTGTAATTATTGATAGTAAATTAAGACTGGAAGATCACTGTATTTATATGTTAAAAAAATAGGTAAAAAAATAAGTTTTCTTAATAGGATAGTTAACAGTCTGTCAGTATATACTAGATGTATTGTATATAAAGCGATAATTGTTGCGACGTAAATATAATGGGCCCACTACAAAGCCTTGCCAAGCGAGGCTTCTGGAAAAAACCAAGCGCGCTTCGGGCCTTTGATCAAGCGCTCAAGTCTTCCGATAAGTAAATAATAGAGGGATATGCTTTAAGTCACCAGTGATGTATCTTCCGATAAGGCTCGGGTCATCGACCCGAGACAAAGGCGAATCGGATAGCGCTTGTTCTTTGACGTTCGAAGCCGCGACGGTCAGTTATCACAAAGAACTGCGGATATATATATATAGGACCAACGGTCACGGCAGGACAGTTCGAAGTCGTCTCTCGTAGAGCAAAGTCCGATCCTTCTTCCGAGTTCCGCTAAGACACATCGAGGCCGAGTCCTCGCGTTCGCGCATTCGCGCGTACCGGAGACCGAGCTCTCCGCTAAGATACATCGAGGCCGAGTCCTCGCGTTCGTGCCAGAGACCGAGCTCTCTGGCTAGATACATCGAGGCCGAGTCCTCGCGTTTGCGCATTCGCGCGTACCGGAGACCGAGCTCTCCGCTAAGATACATCGAGGCCGAGTCCTCGCGTTCGTGTAATCTTGAATAAACAATTATTAACAAACGAAACTAGTGTATGGACTTAAACTCCCACACACGCAACATTTTGGTGCCTCCTGTGAGGTCGTTCACAGTACGAACGTGAGAACCGTAAGAACATCGTGATTGACGAGTGAACAGCGGCTAAGAAGGAAGGACAATCAAGGCGATCACGACTTCAGGACTATAACATTGGCTCTTGCAACCAATCGCACAAGCCTCAGGACGAGTTACGCATCGCAAGGTTGAGGACGAAGGACTACGCAGCGAGATCAAGGCTAAGTCCATTCCAAATATAAATCAAGTGGTCGATTAAGCAATTTCCGTTACCTACTCCCAAACGACAATATGGCAGATCGAATTAAGTTATTAATACAAAAGCGAACGTCGTTAAAATCTCAAATTACGGGTTTGACAAATCTGGTTGAGAGAGGCCGTTACGATAAGGCCGCGTTAAGGTTACGGATGGCCCGCATAACCGACTTGTATCACGCGTACGAAGAATTTAACAACGAGCTCGTACTAGTAGATCCGAACGACACTCATAAAGACGAATTTACTAACGTACAGGAAAGATTTTATTCACTCGCAAGTAAAGTGGAAGAAATAGTAAATTCCACCGTTTCGATCGCGATTACCGGTGTCACTATTAGCGCGTCGCAAACCAGCGGTTCTGAGACCACGGCGATCGTAAAACGGCGAATAAAATTGCCGGAAGCGTCTCTACCGAAATTTGACGGCCAATATGAGAATTGGCTGTCCTTCAAAAATACTTTTATCGCTATGATCGATTCACAAACAGACTTGAGCGAGGTAGAAAAATTGCAATACTTAAAATCAGCGTTAACGGGCGAGGCAGCTAATAAATTAAAGATTCTATCATCAAAAGGCCTTGGGAACTGTTGAAACGCTCGTACGAAATAAAGCGGATATTAATTTCACGCCACCTTTCGTTGCTCTTGAACACACCCGTTTTAGAAAAACAACCGACGGCTTGTCCAAGCGTGCCGACGACGCGCAGCAACATGTAGCATCGTTAGCCGCGTTAGGAGTTAACGTGGGGTCCGAGATATTTGTAAACGTACTAGAAAGCAAATTACCTAAGAGCGTAGCGGAGAAATGGGAGGAATCTCTGGATCGGGACGAATTTCCGAAGATCGACGATCTATACCAATTTTTATATAGAACCGCAGTTCGTATATCTAAGCGTGTTCGTGCAGGAACGACCAAACAAGCCGAGGACAGATCGACACCTCCCGGGAAAAAGGCGCGAATATCCAATAAGGCATTTGTGGTTAATATCGCGAATAATTGCCCAGCGTGTAAAAATAAGCAACATCCGTTATTTAAGTGTAACAATTTCAAGCAATTATCTGTGCCAAAGCGCATTGAATGCGTGAAAAACGCTTTGTTATAACTGCTTACGTTCACATCGTGGTAAACCTTGCAATTATTCGCACTGTAGCATTTGCCAAAGGCGACATAATACGCTTTTACATCTTGAGAAAACCCAAGTCGCATCCACGACAACGGACGCGACGGACGTCAAAGGGGCACAAGGCAAATGACGTATAAAGGGGGGTGGCCATGCAGCGACGTGTCTCGCAGCGATCACACCCATTTTCACACCACAATTGATGACCACCGCGACGATATTTATTCAGGATCATGAACTCAAGTTAATTAATAGCGTTTTTCACTGGGCAGCACTGAGTGCGCACTGAAAACTCGTCGAGTTCAGGCAACACTGCCGGAGTGCACTAAAAGTGCGAGTTTTTTGCACTCCCAACTAAACACGTCCATTATTCTTAGTGCCATCTCAGTGCGGTTTTGTGGCGCATTGTGCCGCTGTATTATATACTTTTGATAAAATTTATAACATAATAATTCATTATGGAAAATTCGATTTCTTTTAAAGTCAATGATGAAATATTAACCCTTGAATCGCTTGGCATGGAATTATATAATAAATTAAAGAGTAAGTACATACATGTAATCTTGGTTTTTGAGGTTATTCCAGTGCACATGTTCAAAAAGAATGTTGATGAAAATTTCATTTCAGGAAAACAAACGTAAAAATGTTTTAAGCCATTCTATTATACAATAGCGTAAACGTGATTATAAAGTGATTGTAAGACGTAGTTGTAAGCCGCTTTTACGGTTTTACAGTACATTGTAGGAGATGATCAAATTTCATCTTCCATGTTTACAACCAAAGCTGTATATTTTATAATAGCGGCTTATAACTGCATCTTACAAGCACTTTACAATCACGTTTACACAATTGTAGAATAGGCTTTAAAGTTTCGTTGTACAGTTTGAAAATATGTAACAATAATTTTTTATTTTGAAGTTTTTTTTACAATTAATACTTGCATTCTAGCTTGTCAAATATTTCTTTTTGTATTTCAAAATGTATATAAAAAAATTAATAGATTTTTCTACTATTACTTTTAGATAAAGATGCCTATAGCGCACAATAAAGCTCCTCATTCAAAATGGATTATATGTTCTAAATTGCAATGACCAGGAAATTCGAGAAATATATCGAATGAATGGAGAGGAGTAAGTAGAAAGTAGAATATATATACTGTTGAAACCATGTAATTTGTAAATAGAAATGAATGCGAGCGATAAAAATTTTCTCTAAGAGCAAATTAGTAAGATTATGTAATTATACCTGCACATTGTATTGCAGAGAAGAATTGATATATCATGCTAATGTCCACAATTTGGCACGGTTTAATGATGAGCAACTGGCAGAGTGCAATAAAGAAAATGATGCAACAAATTACTCTCAATCACAGGACTGCAGTGAAAAGAGTACCGGTAAATATAATTGAATGCAGAATTTATAAAAGATGCAATACATTTGATGTAATTGTAAAATACTAATGAGAATATTCTTAAAAGTCGCCAGCAGTAATTACCAACATCAGAGATTTTTTGACCGTATCTGGCAATTTTAATAATACAAAAAATTTATTGCGAAAAATATTACCGATTGGTGGTCGAATTGGTTGAGACGCCTGCCTAGAGTGTAGGGAAGTCCAAGTTTAAACCCTGGCTGAGGTAATATTTTTCGCAATAAATTTTTTGTATTATTAAAATTGCCAGATACGGTCAATAAAAATCTCTGATGTTGATAATTACAAAATGTTCATTTTCGATTTTCGTTATGCTTAACGTTTATTATAGTGTTGCATAAAAGGCGATTATGTTAGTAAGACTTTAATTGTATGCTGTGCAATGATTAATAAGTTCTGTGATTTTATAATATACGTTACTAATATGCAAATTTTATGTCATTCAGATCACTGGACCGATTCGGCCACTTCATTCATCCTCGACAAATATGAAACATACTTATCCGATATTGGTCCAATGAAAAAATTTAAAACTAAAAAATTGATGTGGTCACAAATATCTGCAGATATGACAAAAATGTTAAATATTTCCAAAACTGCTCTACAAATTGAAAATCGGTATAAAACGGTTTTAAAAAGAAAGAAAAAAGCAGTAGAGAATAATAGTAAATCAGGTAGTTCCAGAGAAGAGATACCATTTGAAAATGAATTGCGCAAAATTGCACGTGCAGATGATAGCATCGAACCTGAGGTATTGCGGAGTGCTAGAAGTGTGAAATATCCTAAGTTAAATGTACCTGAAATTCCGGAAGAAATCTGCAACACTAGTCCCGCCAAACATGCCATCGATGGCTCACCGAAAGCAAAAAAGTCTAAACGGAGCAATCAAGATAAAATGATGGAATTATTAGAAAAAAGAGAAGCCGCAAAGGAAAAGCGACATCAGGAAAAGTTAAACCTGATACGTGAGTTGTTTGCCAAACAGCCGAATACAGAGTAATAAAATAATAAAACCCAGCCAAAGAAGAAAGAAAAACTAAAAATAGTAATAGGTGTAATATTAGAACTGTTAACTATGGCTGCTTTTCTTTTAGTTTTTGGTAGTCAATAAGTAACAAGAATAAAACAATGCTCGTATCGACTGTGTTCATTAAAAGGAAAGCAGCTTATATATAAATATTGAAAGTGTTAGTAAGATGTTTTTCATTAATGATTTTATGTTTGTTTCTTACATAATTTTTTTTCTACACTAGTTTTCTTTCTAGTCTATGTAGTCTATGTACCTATCTATATTACTACAAACACGGACGTAATGTTATACTTACAGATACAAATAATGTGTTGACATTTTTGAAAGATTTATTTTATTTTAAATTTATAAGTAATATGCACACATGGTTTATTTCATGTATCTGATTTGCATCTCGGATTCGTAACGTAAAAAACAGTCAGCTTTATAATTTGTTCACAATACAAATTGTTAAAATTATGGAAAATTACTGGATGTTGTTTTAGAAAATGTAAACTGTATGTAGTTAATCTTTAGTTGATTGCAATAGACATTGCAGTACCAATTATCGACTATTATAGTTCTAAGTTAAATAACTCTATTGTCGCAAATGTACCTTTTTTCTTTCCAGATATAGTATTATTACCAATAGCATTACTAGACCCGATGTAATATTACTCTTAGCAAAAAGTTTTTTTATCTGAAAAAATAAACCTGAATGTTTACAAACAAAAATGTTTATTATTATGATTTACGTACAAACAACAAATACATGTGCAATATATAATTTAATTATTGTCGTATCATGCTTTATCTCATGGAAAAAGTACATTTAATAAATGATCTCTTTTAATTTCTCCTAATCTCCGGAGTAGAGTTTCTTGTTCCCCTCTATCTTCATAATTAGGTTCTTGATTGTCTAACTCGATACCATCATTAAAAATAAAAAAATCGTTGTTGTCAATGCAAAAGTTATGCAAGACGCAACAAGAAATTATGAATTTAGATATTTTATCAACGCTATGAAGATCTAATTCAGTAAGTTGTCGAAAACGATTTTTCAAGAGTCCAAATGCATTTTCGATTAATACTCGTGTTGCACAAAATTGTTTATTAAACTGTCGCTGCTTATCGGACAGATTTCCATAATCCCTATAGGGAATCAGTAACCATTCTCGTATGGGGTATGCTGCATCTCCCAATATATGAAATTTTCGATCACAGATTCGTCGTAAATCATCATTGATATCCGATAACTTTAGAACTCGTGCATCGTGGATCTTTGCTGGAATCCCAGTGAAGACATCGATAAATCTTTTTCGAACATCACATATACCCTGTAATGTGATTGCAGGAATATCATGCCTATTTACGTAGGTAGATTTAATTTTATGCGCTGGTGTTCGTACTTTAATCGACGTGCCATCTATGCAGCCAATTACATTAGGAATACCAGCAATCTGAAAATTATATATACTTTAATCAAGTAATTGTTATATTATTTTTGCATTAATAATTATCAATTAATATATGCAGTAAATACATAATATATCTATATATTGTTGTGTGTGTGTGTGTGTGTGTGTGTGTGGTGCGCGTGTGCGTGCGTGTGTGTGCATGTGTGGAGAGAGAGAGGGGGAGAGAGAGAGAAAGAGAGAATTTTATATACATATATACATATATTACAAAAAATATTAATAATTTTTAGATCAACGTACTTGTAAGAACTCGTTTGCAGAAACTTCGTTGTCTCCAAATTTTATGATCTTTGGAGCCATGTCAATTAAAAAATTAAGCACTCGGTTATTCTGCCTGAAAGTT